GAGAGTAAGCATTTGGTCCCCTTGCACTGTCCAGATCCCGTTTTAAAACTTTTAGTAATACAAAGGGTTTTATAGCGGTGAACAGGAGCCAAGAAGTCCCTGAATGTGTCATTTTGTGCCTATTTGATTTCAAAGTTTTTAAGAAAAGCATCTTTTGGATTTGGTGTATCAGAAGTACAGCATGTGAGAAAGGCTGGCTTCCAGGAGGTAGAGTGGGGACCAGCAAAAGTGTGATGGGTGAGAAGGTCCCTTTTTAACCACAGAAAACACCAGTTGTGGAAGCAAGTATGAAAATTACTGTAGTTTATTCTACTGTAATCATCTAATTATGCTGCTGGCTCTGGAGTGACAGTCATATCCAAATGCTAAGGTGTTTTCTGGAAGGGGAGAGACAAAGGTGGGAGAGGAGGATGGGATGGACCAAAAAAACCCCATATGAGAACAGATAACTAAATGCATCTTCCACCTGTGGACCAGGGAAAAATGAAGGATTTCAATCTGCTGCAGGATGTAGCCCATAAATATCACAGAACCATGGAATATCCTCAGTTGAAAAGGACCCATCAGGATCAATTCTAACTCCAGGTGTTCCCAAGATTCACTCTGTGTACCTCAGAGCGTTATCCAAACACTTGAGCTCTGTGAGGCTCGATGCTGTGACCACTTCCCTAGGGAGCCTGTTCCAGTGCCCAAACACCCTCTGGGAGAAGAAACTTTTCCTGATATCCAGCCTAACCCTCCCTGGTTGACTTCATGCCATTTCTTCAAGTCCTGTCCCTGGTCATGAGAAGGAAGGGATCAGCACCTGCCCCTTGTGAGGATGCTGAAGACCCCCATGAGGGGGGTCAGATCTCAGTCTCCTCAAATACAAATAAATATCTTGGATGCTTGAGGATTTCCTGTAGGGAAATAGAGCATTTCCTACACCTTAGATGCTCAATGCATGAAACTGCTACTTTCCTTTTATCATTATCACAATAATGATAAAGGACTTTGCAGTGTATTTTTTTCAGATTGAGGCTACAGAAAGAGATCTGAAAATGCAATTTTGTTATTATTTTGATTCTAGAAAACAGCTTTTATATTTGTGCTGCATTTATATAATTACCTCGTATTGCAAATCACTTCTTTTTTTGGCCTTTAATGACCAATCTGACACAAGCCATTTGTTTCTAAATTGAGGTGTAAAGATTTGAGGCAGATATTGAAATAAAGTGCCAGGCTTTTGTCACTGGTTCCTAATCCCTGCTTTCCAGAAGCCTTTTCTGGTAATTATCTTTCCATGCAAAATAGGAGGCTTTGATCAGCTTTTGAGTGCTCCAGACAAAGCTCTTGATATTTCCAGAAGGAAATGAAACATTATTGCTGTGAAGCACCTCCTGTTCAAAGTATTTTCTGATTGTTTTGATATAATATGATATTTATTTCTTTTTTTCACATTTTGATATGGAGTTACCGTCAAATTTTGAATCTTGCTGTTTTAAAGAGATTTAATGTTGATGGTTCTTCCTGATCCTGTCAAGATGGAGTAATTGGTTATGGAGTATAAGAATTAGCCATTTTTAGCATGAACATCTGAAAATTGAAGCTTATTAATAGAGTTATATGCATTTTTGGTGATCTTTTTTCCTCTTCTGGTGAGATGGCTTTTGTTTTGGAATTTTTAGTTGTTAGAACACTTCATGGCTGAAAATTACTTCCCCTGATGACAGAGGCAAGTCCTTATAATACCCTTTGTAAAGGGAAGATTATACCAACTGATAATACTAGACATCAAAATCTCTTAAAAATACTAAGGGTTTAAGAAAATGAGAACATATACTGCTGAATTAACTGACCAACTGTTTCCTATAACAAAGAAGTAGAGGCAAGAAGAATATCTAATGGATAGAAGGAAGGAGTTTTTGGGAAGATGTCACTTCTTAGGATGCCAGCACCTAAGCACGGCAAGAGGATTTTCTGACTTTTTAAATCCAAGAATCCATTTCTTATTTATTTAGGAGGTGTGAAAATGAACCACTGAGTTTTACTGAGTCCTACTATACCTCTTCTCTTTCATTTTTGAAGGTGTAATAGCAAAATTGTTACTTCTGCCAAAAACATCAGAAGTGACTAGAAGTGATCAAAAGTCACGTTGGAACAATTGTGATTTGGATTTATGTGGAAAAGGACTCAGCTGCTGTGGAAAACAGAGCAGTAAGAGATAGACAGATTTTCCTGAGGCATATTGTGGCATTAGTACAAAGTCTGTGGTAGATTGTTTGTTTGCATTTACTCCCAAACCAAAAATGTCACAGCTTAAAAATTTAGGAAGAGTTCTGTGCCTTTCCCCTCTTTAAACCTAGCCTTGGGCTATGTTGCTAGATTCGTGGAAGTGCCCAGTTATGTTGAGAAATTCTAGCTGATAAAGTACAGGGTAGAGAAAATGTAGAAATGGCACATAGTAGAAATTTGGATCAGATTTCAGCTGGAGTTTTCAGCTTGAATCTTTTGGCACTTAAAATTGAGTGCATTTGTCTGTGGAATAAGAGATCATGGCTTATCTCATGTTATTAATGGCTATCATTTCAGGAGGCTCTTTAGAAAGTGGATGTGCATATGGGTTGTGTGAAATGAGGGTAACTCTAGTACAAGGGAATTTTTTGGGGGTTTTTGTTTGGTTTTTTCCACATGTATTATCCTTTGATCAACCTGGTCTGGTGGAAGGTGTCCCTACCCATGGCAAGGGGGTTGAAACTAAATGATCTTTAAGGTGCCTTCCAACCCAAAATATTCTGTGACTCCGTGTTCCTTGACTTATATATAGATAAATACCTATCTAAAATTTTGCTTAATTTCAAATACTTGTTATTGCAAGTGTTATCTTCCAAAATGGATCTCCCAGTAGCTCACAATCTGAATGTGCAAAACCTGTGTGATTGAGACAGATTTCTCTTACTGCATGAGAAACAATAGCAATTCTGACCCCATTTCCTATATTTTAATTAAAAAAAAAAAAAAAAAAAAAAGGTTAGGATACAGAATACCTCTTGTGGTTTGTGTTATAACTTCATTATTGATGAATGTGATTCATAGGTAGAATGTAGGGATTTCCCCCTATACTATGTAGTAGATCCTTGCTTGTGGTAATTCAGGGTTTTCCCTCTCCTGGTTTTTTAGCTGGGTTATAGAATCTTAATACTTCCTGTTCTCCTAGATGACTGTATATTAATTTCTTCCTTTCTGCCCAGTCCTGATGGGTTTTTGTAGGATTACCTACAAGGTAAGTGGTAAAGTGTGACCTTCAGTAGGGCTGTGGTTCAGAGGCTCCCATGTTGTCATTCTGGCTATGACACTGCCTCCCCCTTCCCTGGGAAGGTGCTGACTCTGCTTTAATCTTCATGAGTAAATGAGAGTGAAATTTCACTGCTGTGTTTTGCAGCAACTTGGTGCCTCCTTTTGAATAATCCACTGTTAATCCTGATCTCACAGAAACCAAGAACTGATTTGCATTGATGAATTTCTTCATTTTGATATACAGCTTTGGAACACTTACCTTATATGTCTGTCTCCTGATTTTGGTTCATTTTTTCTCCCCCAATGGAATTGGTGATAAAATAATGCACTTTGGCTTAATAATAGTAGGAATGAGTACACATAGTTCTGAAAAAACACACTCATGTCCAGAGCATCTCTCCATTCCAAAAGTAATTTGATTACTTTATTCTGATAAACTCCTATTTTATAACTCCATGTAAAATTTTATAAGTGGTTCTTTGTCTGGTATATGTGAAAATCTGTACATTTAGAGTCTATGTTCAGAAAAACTGGGGGAATATTTTCTGAGACATTGAGTATTTTATGATCTATCCTATAGAACAATATCATTACTGCCTCCAGAACTCATACCTATATATGGCTAAACAAAAATGTCAAAAGGTTCCACTTAAATGCCCAAGGAGAAAACAGAGAGTGAAACCAAGATCTGTGGGAGAGGAATTTCTGATGTTAAACAGGAAGCCACAAATATTCAGCAGAAATATTAGCAGAAGCATCATTAATAACTCTACAGATGTACACATGTTCATTTTCTCACTCATTTTGTCCCCAAGGATTATTAATTAATTTGTGGGAAACTTAAAGTTATTTAAGCCACCTAATTTAATATTTAAACTGGAAATTATGTAAGTGAAAGGAAATAATAATTTTTTGTGTGTTTGCCAAACAGCTGATAGGAGGAATATCAGTCAGTCCTGTAGCCATGTAGCTTAGCCAATGTTAAAAAAGGAGTTGTGTTCACTCTTTGACAACTCCAGTACTGATATTATCTGAAGTTTGTGCTGTATATGGAATGTCTTATTCTTTGTGTTGTCATAATACCCAACTCCTGCATGTATTTTAATTGGAAAATTAGTAGTAGGTTTCTACGTGTAGAATTTGAACACAAAGATCCAAGTATTCATTTTAAATCTGTGTGTGCCTTGACATTTTCTGCAAATCAGTAGAAGCAGAGACAGGAAAAAAAACAAACCAATCAATCAACAGCAAGTTCATTGTATTTGGGAAAACTCCAGACCTACTATGCAGTGCCCTGAAAGTGAAAAGCATTTCCTTTGCTACTGTAGATAAAAGGATTGTGTGGGGCCTCTTGCACTGCAGCGCTTGTGAGAATCCTGAATTCTAAGTAGAAGTGAAAGGACTTTTACTTGTGTTCAGAAACTAAGTTGATGGTTTTTTCCATGCAGAAAATAATTGAAAGGTTGTAAGGACAAAACAACAAAAGAAAGAAATCAGAGTAAGAGTATGAGTTGGCCTTGACTCAATGTTTTATTATATTTAAAAAGTACAGGTGCATTAGTCATATTCTCTGGATGATTTCTTGTAAAAGAGCTTTGGTGTTTGTAAGCTTTCCCTGTGATTAACGTTTTTTTAAAAAATAAAAGTATTTTTTAAATTAGGTGGATTGGTACTTTGGAAATTGATAATGATGGAAACTGAAATTATCTGCTTCTGACTTTCAGGGACACTGAGTGCTGTGCAGAGGAAGCCATTTCTGCTGGGTTTGAGCTGGTGTGTGGTTGTCAGGAACCCCCAGGAGGTGACACAGGACCTGTTGTGAGGCCCCATCTGCTGGTGCCTCCTCTGGCTGCTGCCCGTGGCCGTGCATCAGGTACAAGGTGTAGTCTGTGTTCTCTCTGAGGTCACATCCCTCTGCTTTCACTGAAGAAGACCTATTCTCACCGTTTAAATCTTGCAGGATAAGCTAGGAATTGAAGCCCATGCAGTGCAAAACAAGGGAAAAGTATAGAGTAATAGGGAAAGCTGGTTCATGTTTGTTATGCTACAAAGCACTAAACCAAATGAAATCTGTGTAAATAATAATAAAAAGGTGGGTCACTTCTAGTATGATTTTCAATATCAAAAGTCTGAGATCTAATCACTATCAAACTCCTGTTAAGGTTATGTGCTAGAACTCATTAACATGGCCAGTTTTTAGTTGGTCGCCATTAACAGCTGGATGCTGTCAGAATAGTTTTTTCTGTATAAGCAACATTCAAACTGAGTAACAGAAAAAGCTGGAATTTTAATAATATTTATTATGACAATTAGAAAATTGCATTTTACAAATGTATGGGACTATGTATCTGTCTTATGCTTAGAGAGTTTAAAATATGTTTGTTATATCTTTTTAAGACATGAATCATTGTTCTGTACCTGAAAAACTGAGCATTAATTATCCAAAGCCATGTGACTGCTGATATCTGTCAGTACAGAGCAGTTTCACTGGACTGAACTTGTAGTGTTGGTGCTCTGTCTTAATGGAAAATAAGGAAATCTGTGGGGCCTGGGAAAGCACCCTGGGTGCTTTTGATTGCAAAATGGGTTATTGATAGGTCAGTACTCATACAGAAACTTTCACTGAGGGAGAGTTTTAAATGAGATTACTATCCATCTTTGTTCTCCCAGTGACTTTTCAACCTACGGTTTCTTTCATTCCACAGAGGAATTTACTGTTTGCTCTGTACCTCTGCTGCTCTTCATCTGACCTTTATTGCTCTGCTGCCCACTGAGTTGTTCTTAAAGCCTAAAAAAGGCGTATGTGTCAGACTGGGAAATTTGCTGGAGAATTGTCTTAAACACTGAGACAAATCATATGAGAACCACATAGAACTAGCTAGAAAAATATTTCCTCATCTCACAGAAGTGTCACTTTTCCAATTTTGACCTTTATTCCCCTCTGTGTCACTCTGAAATGATGTTGAGAACTCTCAGCTGTTTTAATGAAAAGCACTCAAGAAAGTGTGAGACTGATCCACAGCCATCAGTAGCCTGTGGAGTAGGTACCTCCTCTGGCACCTGGGTGGAGTGTGTCCCAATGGAGAAGCCAAATAAAGCAGAACAGGGTTTGGAGCCCAGCTTCAGCAATCACTTCCTAGCCCAAAAAACTGCACTCTGCTCTGCTCTTGTTTGCATGGTTTTGTTTATAACAGAAATTCCATCCTGGACATAAGAAAAAGTTTTTGCTCGAAGTTTTGTCAGACTGTTGCAGTGAGAGTTGTAAAGTTTCAGTTTCAACAAATGGTTATCCTCCAGTGGAAGAACTTGCACAGAAAAATTCCCAACTCAGTCTGCTTCTGAGTTTGCCTTGTACAACATCTTTTTAAGGGAAGTCTTCTGATGCAGAACAGTTATACTTCATGAGGGCATGTAGTATAAAAGGCAGAGAGTCTGGGTCAGAGAATTGACCCAGAGCAAATATATTTTGCCACCTCACCCTCTCCCTCCAAAAAATGCAACTGTTGGGAGATGGTTTAAGCCAACCCTGCCAGGTGGAAAAGGAGCTTGAGGCAATAGGTTCCCAGTATTTTGTTCATCAGTGCCATAAAAAAATTCTTAATGTCAGCTCAGATGTTTGGGAATTTGTACTACACCTTTCCCACCACCTCCAGCTGCACCTGTTGCATTCCACATGTTACCTGGTGTTTGTTCAGCTCTTTGCAAGGTGTAAAACAGGAAATGAAAAGAATTTATAAAAGTAAAATAGGGGGGCAGTAGAGTGTAGCAGCTGTCTTACAGGATGTAAGGGAGAGGCCGTCCATAAGGAATGCTTGGAACTGTTCATCTTCAGGTACTGGGTTATCAATTTAGAAATGGGCCAAATGCTCCATGCTGTAGGGAAATGTAAATCTCCCAGGAATAGCACAGATCCTGTAAAATTTTTTTTTTTGCTTAATCTTTGTTTTCAGGTGATGCTTTTTCTGATGGTACGTCTGAGGTAAAGTGGCAAGATTTTCCAATTCTTTGTCCTGTCTGGTGTTAATGCAAGAGTTGTAAATGTCAGGCTAATAACTAAAGTCGTTTCCCTAAAGGAGATATGGAGGGTAGAAGGGAGGAGTGAAATGAATGAGGAGTTTAGTCTTTGGGAAAGAACAGAATATGGGAAGTAGGAATTATTAAGTAGGTGGCATTTGAAATGTGCCTGTAAGAGAGAACACAAAAATGGGAGCATTTTTAGTTAAGTCCCCTTTTTGAACTACATTTTTCCACATTTGAGGGGTCGTAGATTAATTTGTTACGAGCTAGGCGGGGTCAGGAAGAAGAGGAGAGCGAAGAGCTCCTTTCTTTCCTCAGCTGCCTGCTGCCCTCTTGTGTAATGATCTGCTCTCTACACTGGTGCGTTTCCTAGCCATTCATAAAGGCAGTGATAAACTGGAGCTGCTTCTCGGTTTGATGAAATGGGGTGCTGAGCTCAAACCCTTTTCTGTGTTTCGCCCCTTGCATATCCTGTCCTCATATCAGCTGGTACTGGCCTTGACCCCTTTGTTGTTCATTGTCCCTACATTTTTTAAGGATTTAAGGGAGGATGGAGAGAGCTGCTCTATCACAGTGTTTGTCTAATCTGTTGTGATAAGCTTGATATGAAACCTATTGTATCTCCTGCTACAGCTGGTATGTGAGTGCTTCTTCACTTCTTTGGCTTAGAAGTGAAAATCTTTCTGATCTGACTTCTTTGTTATCAGATGTTCTCCTGTAGATGGTAGGGAATTAAACTTTATGTTTAGCATTATGTTCAGCTCTTTTCTCATGCTAATGGAATTGTGCAGTTGATGATCTTGCACCATCTGAGTGTATGAAAATTCCCTGATAACAGAAAGGAAGCTGGAGGAAGTGTAGCCAGAGGAAGAAAGTCAACTGGGGTTGGGAGAACAAGTGTTTGGAATTAGAATGGGAGGAAGATGGAGAATTAGAGGTGGGCAGTGAAGTTTAATAATAAGGTTAGCTTCAAAAAATGGAAAGAGGTAAGAGGATTGTACGAAGAGTCTAAAATGAGCAGGAGAACTCCTGGTAGGTTGTTGGACACTTAAGGAAGGGACACATGGACACAGCATCCATTTGTACATCCTCTTGCAAAGGGAAAAGAGCTGCTGAAGAGCCTGACTGGTGTGGTAAGGGATGTTTTTAAACATGATCTTCATCATGTTACAACAGTAACATTATTGGACCTTCAGCTATGGGAAAAGTGAAAACTAAACGGGAAGTGGAGAACTTAGTTGTTATGTCTGTGGTGTATCTCAAAGTTTACTGTCATGACAGTGATACTCAGCTTGCCGGTTTTGTGTCTGGAACTGCTTTGAATTTCCAAACTGCCATCAAAAGGTGGCAGTACAGCAATGGAGATCAGCAGCTTCGGCAAAGATTTTTGAGTAGGAAAAAATCTCTTTCACCTTTGCTCCTGTTACAACATGGGTCATCAGCCCAAGTGCAAAGCAGAGAACACTGTAGGGAAGTTTTGTAGTTGCCTATTTGTAGTAAGAAATATTCCCTGTGGGTTTTCCCACTGGGTGGAGGGATCCCTCCTGTCTTTGCACACAAGAAAGCAGCAGGAATCTCGTATGCTGGGATTCATCCAGAATTGACAGTCAACTGTTAGTCAAGTCTGACTCATCTCACTCGGTGAGATGCAGAAATACTCAGGAACAATTTACCCCGCTCCAAACCACGTCTGTGAAACAAGTGGCTGGAAAATCCACAGGGAACAGTTCTCTCACAGATAACTACAAAAAATGTGTTTTTGAAGAAAAGAACAAGAGGAAATGGTAGTAGCTAAAATTGTTTAATATTACAGGCATATAAATTAATCAGACCACATAGTCCTTAGTATGAACATTCCCTTTACAGAAATGCAATAAATAATTAAATTAGATTAGTCAACTGGTATAAAAATAAAGAATCCTCTCAGTAAAAGTAAATATTATACAAAATTGTATATACCATGCTAAAACACATCTCGAAGTGCCTACAAAGGGCACTTATGATCAAAATCATAAATATATTGTAAAGCCTCCCTGGGAGGTAATCAGCTTTTATGGCTTACATGATGTACTCTGTTAATGAAACACGTAGTTTCTGCAGAGTGCACTTAGTACAAAGAGAGTTCATCTCCTGAAAGGAAATAAGTCAAGAGGGTGTACACATTTAGATTTGTGGTGTCTGGTCCTTCCTAAGGTCATAAGTTCCTCCTGGGGCATCTTCAGTTTTCCTTCTGAGAATGCTGTTGCAGAATGATGATGTCTTCTTGAACACTGGTTTGTTCTGCACAGATTTCCTGTTTTTCATTCATCCTGTTCTTCAAATAGCACACCCTGAATAATACACTCGGTCTTTGATCACTCTGACAAATCAAAGAGTGAACACAAGTCCTCACATCTTATAAATCAATGCATATTTGAAGTGCACTGAGTTGCCTACAGTGGTTGTGCTGACAGTGCCCAGAGGTGTGGTGTTGGCCAAAATCAGCTGTGCTAATTTTTGATTTATATTCTCCATACATAGCTGGACTGGCTTGTCCAGTAAGTTCAGTTTTCAGCAAGATCTCTAAGCAATTAACCCGCTAAAGTTACTTTTGTTGCAGTTTCTCACTAGTTTTTTGAATACTACAAGTGAGCATTTTAAATTAAGTTTTGCAGGTACAAGAAATAACCTCAATTAATAAGCAAGTATATTGTGTTTGAAACAAGAAAAAATAAGCTTTAGCACTATGTTTGGTGTGATAAAATTCAAAGTTAAAAACAGTGAAGCACACTAAACAGAAGTAGGTACATTACTTACTGCATTACATGCTGCCTCTTGGACAAAACTCAGGCATTGCTGCAGTGTAGGCTGGAGTACTTAGTTAGCTTATGACATTCCTGTAGGGAATTGCTTTTCATTCATAAAATACTTATCCCAGGTACAAAAGATGCTTCTCAATGCTTTGTAATGATTGCTGATAAAATGTAATACACAATGTTGTGTTTGTCAGGGCATGGTAATCCCATTTTGTCTGCCTGACAAGAGTTTTAACAGGCTCTTTTAGGACAGTGATTTCAATGCACTTAGCAAGTTACTGGAAAAGACATTTACAGATAAAGAAATACATACTGTACTATTTGTACAAAAATAAAGCTCTTTCTCCAAAACCCTGCACATGCAAATATTCCATGGAGCTGCACAAGAAGTGCTGGTTTATTGGTTGTCCTTCTAGGACTCGCATAAAAATGCACTTAATTAATGATAAAGGAATTTGATTAAAACCCCCAATTTGTATTTGTAAAAAAATACAGATTAGAAACATCAGCAGGTACACTGCAACTGCAGGACATGCTTGAATGTTTTCCCAGTTGCTTTTATCCAAATCTGGGATGAAATTTTACCTGGACTTTGTCTATTGCAGTTGCAGCAGCAGCTTTGCATAGTGCTCACTGGTAGGTGATGAAGGGAATTCATGGGTAGGTGAGTCAGAAAATGGGGATAGAAGGTACAGAAAGAACATAATTTAAACTCAGTACTTCGATTACTTACATATGAGTGGTAGTTCTTTTTTACAATGTTAATCCTGATGCAGTAATGTGGAAACATTGAGGTATGAGATAGAGCATTACACAGAGGAAAAGCAGGTTTTGAAACAGAAAAAGGAAAGGAGAAGAAAAAGATGTTCTAAATCAAAGTTACCATCAACAGAAACAAGGAGAGTTCACTTGGTTTGCTGTGCCCTGAGGATCTTCCTTCCTCTTTCTGATGTACATTTTTGGGGAGGTTCACATTTCAGGACAGTGAAAATGTGGAGGCAGCACATTTTGTATTAGTTTTCCTTTAGGTCGATGACATTGGTAGGAATGGAAATATTTTTAATACTACCTCATTATTTTTGGAGGTAACTAAGCTTGTCATTTTCCATCCTAAAACTAAATGCAGTTTTCCAGTTTCCTCTCTCTACCACATTTCTACTAAGTAGAGAGAAAATGAGATGAAAGGTTAATTTTTACTGAAACGCTTTATGCTCTTTTCCAAGATCAGTTTCCTCATGTGGGGCTAATATCTGTTTGTGGCAAATTAGCAGTTACTGCTCAGATGGAAGAACCCAGAGGTTCAGAATCCTTGCAAGCAAAATATGGTGGTGTATAATTAAGCTGCCAAAACTAGTTTTAAGTGCTGTGATACTCACTTTCATTTAAAAAATTGTCAGTGATATCTCTGGCCATAGTTCCACCGAAATGTTCAGGATTCAGAAGCCGTACAGGAAGGTTTCCACAGAACAAAAAATTTGACAGATTTTTAAAGAAAAAATGGCAAATAACAAGCTGTAAAAGTTAATCAGGAGGAAAGAGATTGAATAGTGTTAAGGGTACATTAATATGAGGGTAAATGCTATCCTCTGAGAAAGAGCAGTATGCATAACAGCTGTTTCACTCTGACTAATCATCAATTACTGTATTTATTGGACATTTTGCAGTGGCTGGTTGTACCAACCTGTCACACCTCTGCTGTATTTATCATGTTAAGCTGGGGCAGTGTAAACGAAATTCCATTTTTCTGAAACAGGATTTCCCCTCAGAATCCTGTATCTCCACTTGGAGCATGTGGCTTACATCTCTCTCTATTGAATCCCATGGCAAATGTGCCATTAGCTTCAAGATGTTAATCACAGACATACAGTATGATTTGTAAATGTTTTTTCCAGTATTGAGAAGGCAGTTAAGTGCAGGACATTTTTCCATAGTTAGCTAAGATGCAATCTAAGAATTTATAAATAAAACTCTGTGTGTGGTATTATTGTAAATAAGGAAATCAGCCCAAGCAGATTCCTTTGAGGCTTCAAAGCCCCTGATAATTTTTCTGTTAATTTTCTTAAAATAGTTGCAGAAATCTCTGCATGGAATTCAGTTAAGATCAAAGCAAAAATACAAAAGTAACCATCTCATGTATTTCTAGTTCAGCAGAAGGGGGACAGTTAAGACCCTTAGAAGAGCCTGTTTTTGTGAAATTACAATTTCATTTTCCCTGTAAGGTGGAGCTAGAATCATTTACAAAATAGCATCCATCTGACAAATACCCATCCAAATAAGACTCCTTAATAATTTGGGAGAAGTTTTCACTTACTACACACAGAGAATACATCACAGTAGCACTGGGAAGTATTTTTACATTTTTCACATCTTAAATATAACATAGTGTCTGCTTTAAAAAAAAAATATTTTCAGTGGCCTTCAGCTCTGGTGTGTCCTAGATTAGTTCTTGAATAGCTGTAAAAACAAAACATTGTTAGTAAGGATGTAAAATAAGGGTATCTGTAATGGTTTTTAAAATGTCAGAAAGCACTCAGGAGGAATGAATTCTGCTTACCATTTTCATTAGATTTTCAAAGCCCTTCAAAAATTCTTTGGGGGTTTTCTTCTCATAAGATTCACACGTAAACTCACAGTGCTGGAAGATAAAAGAAAATCATGGCACTTCCAAACAGCACATCACAATCCTAAATCAAACCTCAAGCTTTCTCACTGAAAAATCAAGAAGATTGTAATCAATGCCTTTTCTAGCTGGAAAAGCTCTGACACAAGCTCTTTCAAAAAGGGAAGGAATTTAGTAATGACACTTTTCATTCACATTTTTTGCAGTGATACCTGTCCTTCTGCCAGCACATTGTGTAGTTGCCAAGTACACCTATGTGACTTTTTAGGGTCATAGGGAATGCTTCTCCCAAAAGTGCAAAAATTGGACTTTTAAATTTCCAAAGTAATGAAAGGCAGATTGTTTTTTCTAAAAGATTTGCTTTCTACAATTCCCCCATTACAGGGGGCATCTGCTATAGAAAATAAGGAGCAATAATCACAATTCTGAGCACTGTGAGGAAATCCTACCTCTTTAGGGTCTTTGTAGGTGAATTTGCTCACGATTCTAACGGCTTTGGCGAATGCCTCATTCTCTTGGCTGCTCGCTGGTTGTAATTTCTGGATGCCCTTCTTGAAGCAGGTCACAGCTGTGGACAAGCATCCCTCCTAGAGCAGAAGAAGGAACTGTTTTAAAGCCAATGTTGCAGCACATTTTCCTGCTCGTGTTAGACTGTGGTCCATGTGCAGAAGTATTTCCTAATGAAATAAATGTCCACTTGGCTATTAATCATGACAGCATTTGAAAGAAAACAATCTTGAAGAGTAGATCAGTTACATGTAGGTTTTCACCTACTAAAGCACAAGCATTTTGTTTTTAAAAAAATTACAAATATCTTTCAGTGCTATGTGTGGGAATATACTTTTTTTCTTTCTCATTTTGGTGCCCTTTCTAATAATGTCTAGTTAACAATTAGAATTGACATAGAACTGCGTATTTTCAAATACTATTAAAATGTTCTTATATGATAGCATCAGAAATTATACAGAAACTATCTCCCAAACTAACATAACAGTCAACAGAGAAAGAAAAGCAATGGTTACTGAAGCCAATTTAAGTTGCTTCATGTTTTCCAAAGAAGGAAGCTGCTGATTACACATATTAGAAAGGTTCCAAAGCCATCATCCTTGTCTGCATACCAACTGCTACCCAAGCTGTGTCTCGTCTGTCTTATGAGGTGTCACTGGAATTTGCTACTTGGGCAAGGACAAGGCAGCCTTCGTGGATGTTGCCTATAGCAAATTTTGCTAGCAACATTCTGTGTCGGTCAGATAAAACATTTTGTTTTCCTGAAAAGCCACACATTTATATTTGTTTCAAGCATCCTTACCGTAACCGGCCTTGCTTACTGGAAAAAAACACTACTCGTTTTTTAAAGAGGTCGATTTTCCAGTTGAAACTGAAAACATTTTTGTCTCGTTCGTGCTGAGCTGAGAAACCAGCATTTCTCATCTGTGCTGCCTTTTGTGTTTTGCTGAGCTGTCACTTACAGCTGAGGCAGCCAGTGATAAGGGCACTGCAAGGATTGTCACAGGCTGAGCACTTTGGGGATGAGGCATGAAGGAGCACAGACCACTGGAAATGTCCGAGGGGGGATAGAAATGTGTAAAATAGCAGAGGCAGTTGGCAGCAGTAATCTGCATCTGACTCAAACTAGCTGTACGGATGAGCTCATAGAGCCCTTGCTTCCGGATTTAGTGATCAGCAGGGTGAGATATAGATCCAGGGCACGTCAGCATCGTGTCACTCAGTGACACTTCAGCTGCAATGCCAGTCACCAGCAGCAGAGCTCGTTTGTCTTCCAGGCTGGAATTGCCTCAGCCTTAACACTGCTTTTTCAGTCTCAGCCTGTTTTCCCTTGAATTGGTGTCCTCTAACCTCTCTTTATTCAAGGGAAAGGAAACTTCATTGTTGAGGGTATGAGGAAGTTGTGTTGGATTGAATTGTGGCTAACAGTCCAGACCTCAAGGAAGCCAAAATAGATTGGGATAAACCACCTAATTCTAATTGTTGTAATAGGTGATTTTCTCATTAAATATTCAAGACCAAATGCAAATCTGGCATGAGAAGGTTATAATAAAAATAAATTCAAATATTTTGATATTTGAAATGTGGTTATGTGAGCAACTTTTTATTAAATTTGGTTTCAATAGCCTGTGATGGCACCTAATCATCTTGAGTTCTGCTTTGTCATACACTGTTTAGTCACCCTGTAGGATGAAAAGTTTGTTGATTTGGTTGCTGGTGATAATTACTATTACCACACTAATGTTTTTTACATGTTTTATATCAGAAACTGAACCCGCATCAACTTAATATCTTCTAAATATGTGAATTTTCTATCTTGTCTAGTATTCAGAGGAGGCACTTAGGCCCTCCCAGAATCAGACAGTAAAGCCCTAAGCTTCAAGTGAGCCCTGGGCTGCTGTTGTTTTCCTTCCTGAGGTGAGCATGACTTTTTTTAAGAAGAAAACCCCAACAACCTCATTAAGCAATTAGTCACTAGCTGTATTTCCTTAGTGTCAGAGGCAGCGGCAAATGCTGGATTAAAATGACAGCTAATAATCTCCTCCTTTTCACTTTGACACCACAAGTTAGAAGAAGTTTTAGTGGGAAAAGCCCAGCACTGAGTTTGTGCACTGAAGTTGTTTCTAGCAATTCAAAGGAATGCATCTGGTTTGGTCGTGCTTCTGTATATTTTTTGGCAAGTTAAACATGCACTGAGCTGTAAAACCTAGGAAGAGGCTAACCAAAACCTGTGTGAAATGAGGTGAGTTTTTTCCCTTTCTTCTTGTAGCTGCTTGCAAGCGAGTTTAGAATCCTGTATAGATAATTTTTTAAGAATGCCTACAGCTTTTGCAGCATAGTAATGCATAATGGTGGCTTTTATATGTCAATCAAAATTATCTGTACTACAAAATAGGGCTCAAAAATTTTAGACAGCTAATAAGACAAGTATAATATTAGGTAGCCACAGGTTGCTCTACACCTCAGTTGCATGTTGCATGTTATCAAAGTAGCATGCACTTACCTCCTAAGTTTTTAAAACGTGATTTTACTATGATTAGCATTTGAATTCACAATACATCCTGCATCCTACCACTTTTGAGAGTGCACAGACTTGATGACTCACTGTTTATAAGAAGATCTTAACCTTGGAAGATGCAGAATATCAGCACTAAATAATGTATAAATACATATCTGTATTAAAAAGGGGTTCACAGGGAGCTGCTCTTGTATTTTTAACTAGTTATAATCTGAAGAGAATATTTGCAGATGCCGTTTTGTCTTCCTGTTGGTAGCACAGTCCCTGCACAGACTCAGAGAGAGCAGTATGACTGCACATGAGAGGAGGCGCTTGTTGACATGGCCTTGCAGTGCCACCCTTGTCATTTGGCTGCAGTGGGAGACAAGGGGGGTAGCTCAGCCATGCTGGAGCTCATGGCAGATGGAGACACTTGCACTGCAAATACCTGCATCCCCAAAAGTACTGCTGCTCATCTGGCTCTTGGATGAATCCCTACTCTTAGCACTATTTCTTAATTAAATGGAATATTTGCAGCTCTGGATCTGTTGATGGGTTATGATACACATGCAGTAGCAAAATAGTAATTGTGATGCCAAAATATAAACACTGCTATTAAATATCCAGAAAAAGGAACTTTTAGAAAATATTTTCTTACTCAGTCTAGCTTGCATTAAGAGTACTAGGTCAGAGGTGTGGAGAAGAAGACATTCTCCATTTGTCAATGGAATAAGCCAGTACAAAATCAAAATCATATAATTATGAAAAATAATTTAAAGCAGTCTCACCTCAAGGCTTTCTGGTGTATGCAGCAATTCAGCATCCTAAAATAAAACAAATCTAAGTTAGAAAAGCTTTAGCATTTGAAAGTGATGTCCCTCACAAGATATATCCTATGCAATATATAATGTTTGAAAGGAATTTCAATATTATGACAAATACCATCACTTACCTTATCTTTCACCATGCTTTCTATGTCTCTAATTTTCTTCTGAATCTGTTTGTATTTTAATGTTCTGGGTGAAGATGCAGTCAGCACCATAGTGGAGCAGAAGAAAAGCATGCAGAAAATAATCATCCTCTTCATCCTGATGAGTTCTGTTTTAAAATATGCCAGGAGCAGAGTTGTGCTGTTCAAGTGTGACACTCCAGTTTGAGCTGTGCTCAGGTAAGCTCTGCACCTACCTATATATTGCTCCCTGCTGGAGATGGAGAACCCACCCATTTCAGTTTGGAAAGCTTTGTAGAATGGATTTATGAGTAACCCTTTTTTCTTTTCCACTGGCTAGGTGCATGTATGCAAGCTTGTGCGTGGGGGGGCAGGGATTGATGGAGTGAAAGAAAATGTGCCCCATCTGCACATTGGGCAGGAAAAAAGAGAAAAGGGTGAATTCCCATTTTCACTTTGAGTCAAGAAATGAACGTACTAAAAAGCTGGTACTTAGAAACCACAGGCCGAGGTAAACAAAGAATCTGTATTTTTTTCCTTCGTAATACAGCAATTAATCTCTTCAGTCCATCTGCAGCTCTTCTGTACTGTTCTGGAGAAATATGACAGGACTTCGTTCAAAATTTAAATTGAATTATCTCACTTTGTGGCTCCAAATAGCATGTTAGCTATTTCCTCCTGATGTATATGAACTGTGGCTTTTTTATTCTCAGCTTGGATTGTGTTAGAGCTGTGAGTAAAAGCTCATCTTAGCATTTAAACCAGTTGAAATTTACTTTATATTTGCTTGGAACCAATAGCAGATATATTAACAGCATTGTGGAGGGTATGACCACTGGGAGTGAAGGATGCAGGGAGATAGCTTGTCCTGGGAGAGATGAATCTCTGAAGCGTACCCATTACCAAGAGGGGAGCAGTACTGGAAGAGCAGGGACTAAATCCTGGTGTGTCAGTCCCCAGTGCTTGTGGCACCTAAACACATTTAGTTACATCCTTCGGCAGCAGAGAATTTCCTTGGGAATGTAGAAGAATGTATGAAGTCCAAACAAAAGTCTGTGCAGGCACTAGGAATTTACTGGACTTCCAGCTCCAGGAATCCATTGATTTTAAGATCACTGATTGTGACATTTCATCACAAAGAGGGGAAAAACAGCTTTAAATTACTTTTATGTATTATCATTATTTAATACTGTCAATAGCATTGAAGGGTTCCTATGTGGAATTAGTAGAGGGCAGTTAAAGTCACTTGGGCACCTTCACTTGTGATGAATAAAAAGATGGTCATGTGTCTGTCAAATTAAATCTCTTCCTCTGAAAATCTGAAGATTCCAGATGGCTTTGGGGATGCTTTACAAAATCTACATAGAGTTTGGACTGCAGTTGGATGTCTGGTAACCTGTGTCATATGCTGATAAAATGTCCTTGTATAAATCTGTCTGGTGGGTGAATCTGAGCTGTCAGGCTGGGTCACTTGTTCATTGTTCATTTAAAAATGAGTGTTTAAGCTGGTGAGAGCTCTATCTGACATACTCTAGCATGTTTCTTTTTTGTGTACAAATGATTATTTACTCCATGTTGTTCATGTGCTTAAGTTGTTTTTCACCATTCAGAAAAGGAATAGCCTAAAGGAATAGATTTTATGGCTGTATGTGTAAATTCACATAACTGTGCTTAGTCTCATGTATGCACATAATCTCTCCTGGTGAAAGGGGTAGCTACTAACACCCAATAGAACAGAAATTCTGAAAAATGAGAACTGAAACAAGAGAAAAATACTTTCTTCTACCACATAGTCTGAAACTTTATTTCTTGAAGAAAAGGTAGTGTGATGATTTCCCCCCCTCTGCAGACACATCTTAAAATAATTTCAGATAAGCAGCACAGCTGCACTGTGAAGTACAGAGGATCTCAGTAGGTTTTATTTGAAATGTATGTTAATTTATGGCTAGAGTTCAACAAAGGAAATCAACAGCATCTTTGATTTGAGAAACCACATGGTGACCAATGCTTTTTATCCTCTCTCCCTCCATCCCATTCCTGTGAAGCACTGCGAATTTTTATATTTTTTTTTGTCTGTTGTCTAACACCTCCCTGAGGCTGCTGAGAACAGAGGGAGATTATTTCCAATAGTGGTGTTCTTTACACAAAGAGGAGACTTGGCTCTGCTCCTCTTTACCATAACTTTTCCGTAGGTTGTTGCCTGGTTATGTGGATGAACATTCATTTATCCTCAATCCACTTTTTGATTTACTATTGGAAGTGTTCATAGTAAAGAAACAGGCTGGTGCTAATGTTTGCTTTTACTTATTTTGTCAGTATTTCAACTGTGGATTCTTCTGGGAAGTTACTTTGAGCCCAACTACAGTAGGTGGTTGTGGTAGCATTGTCAGCCATTTATACATCTTTATTTGGTTGCTAGGTTGGTAACTTCTCACTTGGATGTATAAAAGGGCTTTTATTAGCTGTGATAGCTTGTGGTGGTTGGCAGTGTTTCATGCAAAGAGATCACTGTAGGTTTCTGCTAGTCCAGACAACTTCAGAACTATTTAAAAACTGAAGTTAATGCACAAGGGTAACTCTCCATGTGTTTTCAGAAGCACAGGGCTTAAAGGGGCAGAGGAAGATGTCTACCAAAATCATGGGAGGTGAGATGGCTCTGTCTGAGCTGCTCCAAATTAAATCAGTTACATCTGAGATCAGTTTTAAAGCTGGTGGAGTAAATGGGAAGTTAGACAATGGGCATCAGACAAAGTGGTAACTTGTGTTTGCATATCAGGTCTCTAAAGCTGCCGTATAGTCTTCTGTTTTGTGTTACAGGCTGTAAGGCCATAAGAACTGCATCAAGGAAGCCATGCTGACAGAGAAAGTGAAATGCAAGGACAAAGGAGCACTTCCTCTATTGTCTAGGTAGTGGAGAAAACTCCTTGATATCCCTCTTATCAGATAAGAGCGAGCAGCAACTTTTTTATATACGTCACTGCTCTCTTGTGGCTTAGGAACACGCTGAGTCAAACAACGAGAGCCTCTCTCACACTATCACCGGCTCGGCCCCACGGGGATGGCTGGAAAGTGGAAATGTGAGAAACCTCCCATCCCAGCCTCGCCAGGCCGAGTCCTCCTCTTTCCTCTTTGCGATGGTGCCACCCAAAAACTGCATGACTTCGACTCCGAAAGCCTGGTTCCCCCACCCACATTTTCCTTTACAAGAGAGCTGAATGGAGGCTTTTCCCATGGCTTAGTCATTGCTATGGTTCAGCCAAAAAAGTCTGTAATATGCAGGTCTGCTTTCAAAGAATTTTTATAACTTAGGTTTGTGAAATTTCATGTATGTACTAGCTGTGACTTTGGGGGATTGTAGGAGACCACAGAAGGAGTTATGCTGGAAAATGGGAGCTAGAAAGAACATTCCTGCAAAATGGGTTTAGAAAAACTAGTCTTCAAAATATTCCTGACAACTTTGCAAGTCAGTTCTACCCTCTTGCAGTCTTATTTTCCTATTATAGGCTTTGGTATAATTCTTTGGCCTTTTAATTTTGCTTTGTGAAGAGAAAACCTTACCTGGGAAAAAAATCTATTCTTAACTTGTATTTGCTATAAAAAATCAGAGTAAATATAACTCTGAATGTGGAGACACAGACAATAAAACATTAATGGCCAATAATATAAAACCATTTACATTCTCCATAATGTTCCTCCAGGACTAGCTTGTAGCTAGTTTCTTTCCCATCCTGGTCCTAGATCAAGTCAGTAATGCTTTTTAGGCACATAGTTTGATGTATTTGTGTCCTTACCGACTACTAATGACAAACTGTACTGAGGAAACATCCTGTCAACACTTAGAGCCTGAGACAAGCTTAGACCCACCCTGCACAGAAACAGATATTCAGAACTGTCCTCTTGTGGGCACATCCTTTTAAGTCTCCTTTAGTGCTGGGAGCATCCTCCCACCTCCTGGGTCATAACTTTCTCTGCATGTAGGATGGAAGAAGCCTCACTACATGACCAAGTGGGATCTTCTGCCACTGCAGTAAGCCGTATCATGCAGTTCCTTTCACATCTCAGCTAAAACCTCCTGCATAAGGCCTGAACAGTGTGATGTCCATAAGTAAGAGCTTAGAGCTGTGCCTGAGCTGTGTTCCAGCTTCCATAGAGAGCTTCATTCTTCTTTGCAGTCGTGCTTGTAATCTTTCCCCACTACCAGAGGACAGCCACATTTAGAAGACAAGCAACAGCTGACAGGATGTTTGGCTACCACAATTCTCTTAAAATTTTGAGGGCAGAAAGAGTTGTTCAGCTGAAAGCCACAGATAGGGAGAGGTTGGGGCAAGTCATTGGTCCTGCTCTGTGTGGCAGCCAGGACTTCTGCTGCTCAGATGTTTGATGCATGGCAGGTCTGCAGGTCTCCTTGTGAAGGATGGCCCACAGAGCATCACCTTTCTACCACAGGAGTGTTGTCTGTTTCCAACACTCCTAACACTTTTCCCAATAATTCCAGTAAGAGACAAGCCTATGGTGTGAAAAGCAGGGATGTGGTAATGCTGAAACCCAACAGTGTGTGTCATGTTCATCCCAAATGTTGAGAAAATCAGAAAAATCAGAAAAAGTGCATGCCGGTGTTGGACAGTGAATAGAGGATGCAGAATGGAACAATGCAAGATGTTTCCTTTATTCGTTTACTATTGTTAATGAAGGACAGAAGTCAGAGGAGACTGACTCACTTCTGTGTTACAGTATCGTTAGCATAAAACAAATAACCTCCGAAACATTGCAGGCTCCAGATGTATCTGGTGCACAGTCTGGTACACTGGTAACTATTCCACTAGAAGCTGGGGCTCCCCATATCCTGACATGCCTTGCATGGTGATCAGCATGGCACTACTGTTTGAGTTTTGATAGCATAATTGAAGGTTTGATGTTACAGATTCTTTTGGAAGTCACTCCCAGGGTTTGGTGAGGCTGCTGAGCTGGTGTGGGATCTCCACAGCAGTGCAGTTGTTCCCTCTTGCACAGCGCACAGCCACTGAGGGGCTATGGTCCCTTTTTCTTCCTCCAGCAGATCTGCTCTGATTTGGCCTTATTAATACTTTTTACATAAAGTTATCTTCAACATCAAATACAATTTTCTCCTTTTTTTATGGTTATTATTGGTAGAAGCAGATGACTGAATACTACTTATTTCTAACTAGTGTTCTGCTTTCTGGTTTTCAGGTTCTGCCAAAATACTACAGATTGTATCCTCCTTCATCTATGTATATGTGTTTACTGTTTATACTCAGTTTCTGACAGAATTATTTTTAATTACAGTGTTGATTCCAAATCCTATGAACTCAGTCACACTTATCTCCTGCCCTTTCTTTTGTGTCTTCTCAGGGACAGTGTCACATCTCATGGTGCTGGGGCATCCCTGGCAGAGCAAGAAGTAGTGAGGACAGAGAAGCCACGTGACATTGCACTGGAGGATGCAGTCTGCCTCCCTTTGGAGTGACTCCAAGTCCTTGCTTGCACACCAACTCCTCAGCTTGCCCTGAGCACCACCTCTGTGCGTTGCAGACCAGTGGATCAGCCACCAGATGTGCTGTACTTCAGCCCCTGCAGCAGAGGGGAGGCTTTGGTGTCACACTGTATAGCTGGAGGGAAGCCTGAGGTAGAAGCCACATCTGCAGTTCTCAGGGTGTACAAATGGAGGTGCTTTCTTCAGCAGCAAAGCCATTTAAAGAGATTTCTACTTTAGGTCACTGCTACTCTCTGTCACAGTTTGTCACAATCTGAGGAGCCTCTGTTACAAGGGCCTTGGGTCAATGCAGTGAAATCCCTCTTGCAAAGGCCTTGAGAGCTTGTTTGTTTAGCTTTATTTTAGTTGCAGTCATTTCACTGTCAACCCTATTTTCTTCTTAGCATACCTGAAAAATTTGCAAATAGAAATGAGTTTCTGGCAGAAGTCTGAAACTCTCCTCCTACTGGATTTACTATTGAACACAACTGTGATCTCCTATGCAACAAGTGCCTCCTTAGCACATGAGGCTGAGGGACCCAGTGTCTCCCACTCAGCAGCATTGTTCCAGGAACAGCAATTTGGTGCCAGTGCAGACAGCATTTCATGATTCTGACAGAACTATTTTATGGAAGAGTGTTTAGGGGAATCTTAACTCTGCACCCTTCTACATTTAAGATTCTTGAAGGTATGGTGGTATTTTTCAGGCAGGATTTATTGTTACTTTTCAGGCAGTTCTATCAATAAAAGTCCTGATGCAGAAGTAGCTATACTAGTCTAGAATTCTCTTAAATGGGAATACTCTTCTGTTTCTCGTACATTAATTACTCTGGTGATGAAATGCACTTTGTTATGACTTATAACTTCATAAATAGATCTGCTTTTTAATTGTTTACAGGAGGCTGAAGAATGCTGAGGTGACTAGCTCATGCTATCTTTAACAGATAAGCTTGTAACATTGTAAAAACAGTCTTTTTTTTTCTTCTTTTTTTCCAGAAGTCTCTGTCTTCATCTCTAAGTAGCTGTATCTAACGCAGGGAAGTGTGTGCCTGTGCCTGCAGATTTATCTGTTATGTGCACACACATGCAGATTTGAGAAGCTATATAGCACAATTGTTTGCATAATGAGTTTCATTTCTCTTCACAGGTCAGCACCTTAAGCAAACCTTGGAAAAACTATTGTGTGAGCAGTCAGCACACCAAGGCAGCAGCACCCGTTGGGTAGAGCTTGTCTTGGATAAAAAGCTGAATGCTGTGGTTTCACTGACTTGTTGTTGAAACCTTGTGGTTTCTGTGTAGGAGGCTGTATAAGCTGGACACATTCGACATCCTTGATTCTGAGCTGTGAAATCTGTACATCTAATTTATGAAAATTATCTCTGGTTCGATTTTATTTTCTTTTTAATGAAGTCAACATATTTTCCTTGCATTCAGTAGAAACGGTAATGGAAATGTTTTAAGATGCATTGTGAGCATTTTTGACCTCAAAAAGTGAGAGAAATCAAGATATTCTTGGTTATGATTAAGGCCTAGGAAGGAAATTTTAAATTAAATGCAGAGAGCCAGATGTGAGAGGAAAGCATTTTCTCAAGTGTGGAGACAAATAGAGTAAGTAACTGTGGGAAATGACAGTTGCATTATTAAAAAATCTTCCACCTGAGAATTTGATTTAAAAAAACCACAAATGACTAAGTAGGATAATTTAGAATAAACTATGGTACTGGTACCATTTAAGGCAACCTGCAGTATCTGTAGTCTGAAAAGGTGGTCTAAATAATTAAATTTATGAAATCCAAGACTAAAGAATCTAAAAGACATAGAGAGGGAGCTGCAGCAGAAACGGTACCAATCACAATAAAACATAATGGGATAGGTGATCAGTTGAGTGTTTTTCCTTCTGTAGTTGAGTTCCACACTGCATTCAGTGAATTGATTTTCAGGATGACAGGATCATCACTTAACTGAAGCCAGGAGAGCCATGGATTCAGCTGTATGAGCCTTTACTCCTTCCCTCACTCTCCTCCCTTCTACTCTGGCAAGTGCCTCCCATACTGTAACTCCCCGGAAAGCTGAGCTGCATCAGTACAGGACACCTGAACCTCTAATAGTGGCAAATCCCATTCCCTTCACTGTCAGCTGCAGTGACTGCCCAAACTTTGACTTTTTACCAATAACAGTTTTGCCTCTGCCAGGCAAGTTCCCAGAAGCATGTACAGCATTCCCTATAAGTGAATGTATGGGAATGAATTAAAAATGAGCAAAACCCTCTGGATAGAAAACAAAGGAGAAGAAAAATAACATTCAAATTAATAAAACAAAGCTTCTTGCTGAAATGTAAGTGAAATTACTATTTGTGTGAGAAAAATTACTCAGTGTGTTTGTGGGAGTGCCAAAATCTGTCTGAAAACATTAGTCAAAGCATTCTTTGTGAATAAAGACTGAAAGTGTGACCACCCACTTAGCTATTTCAGAGGGATGACTGCAAGATTCATCTTAATAATTTTCAGTAATTTCCATATCAAAACATCAATAGCAGACCATAGATTTTAATTCCTCTTTACTGTCTCATTGGTCCATCCCAGAGAGTTGTTCCTTTTCAAGGAAAAAAAAATTTCAAATGTTACTCTAACATTGTCACTTTGACTGGAAAATTAAGGTGTCTTGTCCTGCTTGTGTTTTCTTTTAATAAATCTGAGACAATAAATATGATGACTACATCTGTAGGTGAATATACAAGAAAATGGTAAAACTGGTCTCTAAAAATACTCTTCTGGTCAAGAACATTTTTCTTGCCTGTTACTTATGAGCTTCTTGCAGAATGTACAATTGATACCTGTTCCTTGAGCAGGACAGTGCTGTTTCTCTGAGTTAACTCCTGGAACACCAAAAGGCAAACAAGGAGGCACTGAAGATCCTAGCCCAGAACAAAGGTGGCTTTTGAAAATCACATTTTCCCCATTATCACTGTAACATATGCAGATAGGCAGATAACCAAGGATTAGCTTTCTTTTGCAGCATACAGATTTCACCCAGAAGCAATATCATAGGATTCATCATTCCTTCCTGTATAGCTCAGTTTCCATTCCTGGATCCTCCTCTTCTGATTATCATAAGGATTACACAACTACTTTGTTATTCAACCCATGGAAAAACCCTGTCAATGCCTCTTCTACGTGGTAGCTAAGCCTCCCAGGATAGCTGCATCTCTTAAATCTCCCCTTCTGCAGGTTTGAGCCCCTATGTTGAGGGCACAGCTGAAAAGTCAGAAGAGATGCTGGTGGAACTCCAAAGGCTGCAAAGTGTTTGTACTTGATAGTGCTGCACAAAGGGCAAAAACGTGAAGGGAAGTGGAAACATTTAACCTGAGAACAGGAAAACTCACGAGAATCTCAGAAACGGCATGAAGAAAAAAGGAGACAACGATGTAATTTCCAAAACAATAGCCGGAGATCAAAGGAAGCTGATGCGCTTTCAAACACTGTTTGTGGTGGATCTGCAGGGAAAGGTTAAAGAACGTGCTGTGAAAAAATGCAGAGTCTGGCAGAGAAGTGACAGACCCTGTAGATCTTTTCTTGTCTCTTTTCCTTGCCATTGCCCTCTCCTCAACTGATTTGGCCGCACTGAGAGAAATATCACCGTTCCCTTTAAATTGCCTTTAAATTGAGCAGAGATGAAACAGTTCTGCCGTCTGCTATAATCATGTGCCATGGATACTCTCCTTACTTATTGTCTGAGCTGCATTCTTTTCTCCTTTCTTGCTAGACCTTGTTCAGTGCACAAACTTTCCCTCTCAGCTCTGTTCATCATATCCTGATTGATTTTATAAAGTTTGGCCAATTTATGCCAAAGTGAATAAATAACTAGAAATATAAAAATGTTATGTGCTGACGCTTTCATATGCTCATTTCAGTCTTCTATTAATTATATTTAATTATGAAGTTTTATTGGAAATAGTTTTAAAAGCTGGGATATAAACCTTTCTTCATTCTTTAAAGCAGAATGTCCAATCCACAGTGAGCTTTTTTTTCCCTTGCTCATCTCAATAGTTGCAGTGTGTTTTATGCCACTTCATATGGTTTCTGTCATATTCAAAAACTCAGATGCTCTCCCTTGTTTAGGTGATCAGTCTAATATTTATAGTCATTCTCTATGCTTTCTTAGATTTTTATGATTCAGTACACATGCTCTGAAAAATTTTTGTTTTTTCACAGGTGGTAAACAGTGCCACAGTTATATACAGTGAGTAACCAGTATTCCAGAAAATGGTGGACAAAGGAAAAGGACACAAGTAAAACCAGACTTTCTGTATAAAAAGCCTGAAGTTGGTTCTTGCTCTTCCTACTTGATGCAGGAGGGTGATCTGATATAACAAAAGAAGGTCAGTAAGCCAGCGTGCCATAGTAGAAAGACCCAGGCACTTGAAGGCAGTTCATAAGGAGCAGGGATAATGTAGGTTAAAGGTAAAAGAACTTCTACCTTAATAATTTTTGTCTGCTTCTAACAGGGCCAGGACAATTTTCATTAACTTACCAGTCTAGGGAATGTGGATTTGCCAGCTGTTTGGACAGGTAGTAGTTTCCTTTTTCTCTGACAAAAAGATAAGTAGTGAAACTTTTGGAATTCAAACGATATTTATATTTATGTTGCTCCTTGATGTTTAAAGAAAACTTCAGTGTTTTTATTAAGGCTGAGAGGGTGGTTAGGAGAAGCCAGTATTTTGTACATTAAATTGTCTTCTCTGTATAAAATTCTATTTCATACAATACATTGTCTTCTCATTAGTGTAAATCATTCTTCAGTGTTCATAATTTAGTAGAAAATGGCCTAATATGGGTTGATGTGGACTGCTGTGCCTTATTAGTTCTTTAGACCTACACAGCACTTTATTGCACCTAGTGAAATGGGGTAAAAGAGCCATATTTAGCTATTTTTCTGTTCCCATTTTATCCATTGCCTGGAATGACAGTCCCTTTGGCTGCCTCTTGCCCTGGACTTCTTCCAAGAAATCTGCATATTCCTTACTGAAGGGACTCAAGGGAACTTGCACCTCCAGGGTGTTGATTTACTTTTCTTCTGCTATGAGCCAAGATTTCTTCAAGAGTGACACTGTGCATGAACAAGAGAAGTTCAGTGCCAGAGGTGGGCATTCACATATCCGTGTGTAAATCAGAACAGCTGAATCCACACCTCTGTTGCCTCTCAGTCTAGTACTGAGAAAGCTTCCCAGGACTGAGTCATTTGAGTGAAGTTCAATAAATGTCAGAGAAACTAATTAAAACAGAACCTCCCTGAGTGTGAGTCATAGCTGCTCTCTAGTGGACTTGTGAATAGTGTCAGCAGCTCTAAGTACACTTATCCCCAGAAAATAATAATATAGATATTCTGAGAGACAGAAGGTAAAAACTCCCTATACCTGTGAGTTCAGCTGCTTGACTTTTTTGCCACCTCTTCTCTTTTGGTGGCTGGCTTACACCAGAGCTACAGTGAAAAAACAGTGCAGAATCACCTTTAAAAACTATCTCCTGTCCAGTGCTGTGGAGAGACAGTATTTCATTGTCTCTATGTTGTGGGTTTGTTTGCAGAGGACACTGTTTCCACTTAGCATCCTCAGAGTGACAAGTATCTTAGAGCTAAGGGAAACTGTTTTATCGGAAAAGAGGGAGGCGTTCAAAGTACAAGGGCTTATTTCCTGAGGCAGCATGAGGGAAGAAGGGCAGAGGGAAAAATATCAGCTGCACAAAGGACCTTCATTTTTGGGAACACGATGTCTTCTTGGGCTTTCTCAGGAGAAAAGTCAATGATTTCTATGGGGCTGAGGTCAAGTAAGTACATGCACACAGAGGGCCTTGGTAAGGCAGGTCCTGCCCAGCACAGTCTGGGGCTGGATGTCGTATGGAGCAGTGCTCCCTACCCCCAGGGACAGCACTTCTATTCCTGACCTTCCCAGCAGCTGCACTGACTCACTGTTTAGCCTGCTGTCCACTACATTTCAAGGAATTCTCCGACATCCACCAACATTCCCCAAGCAATGATCTTCTGCCTGTTTTGATTCATTGCAAGATTAACTTAGGGACCAAATAACGTGATTCCAACCCACTAAAGGTTTATTGGAGAGACTGAAAAATTAGTCTTTAATACTATGACTGAAATAAAGTGTGCAACAAATTGCCTTCTGGAGAGAGCCTTGGTGTTGTGCAAGAATTGTTCAGCCACAGACAAAGCACTGGTGTGTTTGTGAGTCTATTTTAGTCACAAATCCAAACAACAGCCCCAGTGGCACTGATTTGAAGAAAGGCAACTGCATCCTCGCTGGAACTGGGACACTCACAGTGATAAAATTGGTTTGATTATGGATTCTCTGGTTACATTAAATCGCATTTGTTCTTTTCTGGCAGGGACAAAGTCCACAATTTTTCGTTGTTAATTTGTTGCTCATGAATAATTGTTTGCATCTTCCATTGGGAAGTTCACTGAGTCCTTCTCCCATCTACATACCTGGAAAGAGGGTATGTGGTTCTGTGCCTGAAGTGAGGAGCTAAGCTAAGAGTCTGGAAGGGCTTCCACCTCTGCAGAGCAGAGTATTAAACACCTTACTTTACTGAAATTGAGGAAAGACTTCCTTACCTTATTAAGTAAAAAATCTGGATTTTGTAGTCTGTGTCTCCAAGTAAATGGCTATATTGTCCATTGTCCCTTCCATTGTGTACATTTGAACATGTGAATTGTTGATCTTTTTCATTACACAAGCACCTAACCTTTAATATTGCAGTACAGATGATAGCAGTGAATAGGACATAAATCTGACTTTTGCTACCCTTATGGACCATCACTTCCATCCTTTAGTGGGAGTGAGGTAATGGTGGTTTAAATGAAAAAGGCTCAAACTTTAAAAGTAGGAAGTGCTTTTTTGTATGTATAGGGAACTTAACAGGCACGCCTGAAGGACCACCTTGACCTGTGAAAATATGTCAGTCTGATCTCTGCAGAGGTGAAAATATGTACATGAAAACTAATATTGTCTATTTCCTTTTTGTTCAACTTCCTGTATGCAGAGGCCAGGTTGTTTATTCTTGTGAATGATGCAATGGGTTAACGGATAGTATGTGGGTTATCAGTAAGGAAATCTGAAGGTATAAGGACCATAACAGTACCTAATGTTTCACTTTGATTAAACTGGTGGAATTCTGTCTAAATGGAAAATTGTGAAGGCGTACAGCCTTCATTGCATCAAGAGGATATGGTAGGAAGTAACTCAAAAGACAAATTGTCATATTATTTCTAAATTATTAAATGCCTTGAGGGCTTTCAATTCGAAACCCATACCGTCTTCTTACAAAAGATTTTACAAAATACGTGCATAGTCTGTCCTTGCCACGGCTGAGATTTAGGCAGATGTGAGGCTCAGGGGAAGGGTTTGGTGGATTTACTTGGGAGCTAAGAGAAATCACTAGGAGGTTGCATTCTCTAACTTAGCTTGCACAAGAGAATGAGCATGTTTTCTTTTGGATACTGCTTCCATGACAAGCAGCCTTGTGTATGTCAAACCACTTTATTTGCTTTAGAAATCTAAGTAAATTTAAAATATTTCATATAAATTAAAAAAAATATGTATATGCCTTTTTGTTTCTTTGCTGCTTTATAGCGTGCACAGCAATGCAGGATAAAGCTCAGTTGCCTGTTATGGAAATGAAAAAAGCTGGGGAGCAGGGAAGCTGCCCATAATCCCTGACCCCTGAGAGCTTCAAAACATAAAGCAGCAATCAAGAATCTCTTTGAGGTGGGTCTTGTAGACATTGTTTCTCAGCCCAACTGCTTGAATAAAGATCAAGAATAATGTTTTGTTAAGAAAACAGTAGGGAGGGAATGCCCTTGGGTTACCCCACCATAACGCTGCATGTTGGTGTTTTGAAACTAGGGCGGGGTGATTTATATTTTGATAGACCATTACCTAGGAGGGAAGTAAATAACCTGAAAGCTTGACCTCATTAATGCCTTGTTCCTCACCAATGTTCTTTTTGTTGTTTATATGCTGCAAAACTGCCTATGAGGGCAGCCAGGAGCTACAGACAGTTTTTACAGGAAAGGCCGGCAAACAGTTTTCCTGGGAGGACTTCACTAAATACATTAGTTTACCCAAGGCTCTGAGAATTAAATGTACAGGCAATATTTTCCTCTTAAATTTATAGGTAAGTGGTACCTGAGTGAGTGCCTTCAGTGCCAGCCATGTATGTCCTGCGCAAGATGCAGGACCTGCAAGGTGTTGGCAGAGTCTGTAGCATTAGTCACAGCTAGTGGCTACCCACAGTCACTCAGGCTGTCTGAGCAAGAAGATTTGTGGGTTTGTTTCAGCTTCCTTGCTACAAGTCTCAAAGCCAGACAGCCTCATTTTGGGCAAGACATGCACTCCCAAACCTGACTTATCCCGCTCATCTCTTGGTATGGCTTGTCCACATCACAAGCCCTGTGCTCCCCTGATGGCGAAGGAACAGCTCCCAGGGCCTCACCATTTGTAAAACCTGTATCTCCCAATTTCCTCTTCTTCACCTAATACTCACCATTTCTCTCTCTGCCTTCAGAATCCTTGGTTTTGTTTTAAACAGGTTAATTTTGTTTGCCTTGAGAGAGGCTTTTTTTGTAAAACTGCTCATTGCTGCTCCACTTCTTACTAAATCTCAGATGGAAAAATGCCTCCTTTTGTCCCCAGACTTGTTTTTCTCTTCTGCTGGGACTTAATTATTATTCTACTCTCCCAGTATTGCTTAAAAGGTGTTGCAGAAAACAAAGCTGTATAGTATTGAAACATAAAACAATTTCAGAATGGGATTAATCACCCTATCTTCAACCTCTAGCTAAAAATAAATTTTAAAAGGATGATTCACAGTAGAAAGTCTGCATGAGGTTTCTCAAATTCAGTTCTGGTTTATCATCTGTGAGGCAATTCTGTGCTTGTCATTCTGGCAATGTGGTATCATTTTACTTGAAAATGGCTTTTACTGATTCATTTTGGGAGATGATTTGTTGGTAAATTAGAAGGTTATTTCTGCTTCTTTCATGAAGTATTTGAAGCATATATCAGACTATAGAAAATTTAAGTAAAAGTAAATATATAATAAAACATAACAATGAGTACAGTCAAAGTGCAACATGCTTAAAGCCAGTGTGAGGCACTGCTTTTTTAATGTGACACACAAGCTGTGGAACCTCAACATCATCAGGGCAAGACCTTTGTGAGACAATTAGGCACACTGGTAACATCATCTCTACTTAAATTACAGCAGAGGGATGAAAAGAAAACATAAAACCTCGGGAGCAGTGATGCCTGTCATGCATTTATTTGGATGCAGGGGTAGTGACTGGTGCCACAGGCTGCCTGAGCTACCCCAGCTGGGTGCTGGGGCTGGTTTTCAATCCACTCAAACAGGATCTGACCTTGTAGTTCCCTTCAGCTGGGCAAAGGGCGTGGCTGTTTCTGCAGCCTATGTAAGGCTTGGCAAGCAGGATTGATGCCTGGATCTGGTGGTGCATTGGCTTCCTTGAGGCTTTAAAGGACAGTGATTCCCCTACCTACACCAAAATTCCTGTCCCTCTTGATCAAATCAGACCAAAAGTCTGGTCCAATGTGAAGTCTGTTTCCAGGTCTATATGATGAGCAGTTTTCTGTTATCAAATGATCCCCAAAAGGGAATCCACCAGTCAGCTTTGGTGGAAGTTGAGCTGTGCATCAGCTGCAGGAGCACTCTGGAGACCCAGCAGTGTTTGATGGACTGGCAGGACTGGGTGCATTTGGGAGATTGGTCTGTGAGGGTAAGGGAAGTTCCTGAGCTCACAACAAACTGCACTGGATTTAAATAAAAACCTTAAGTGCAGTAGTGAATAAAGGGTACTGGAATACTCTTTAAAATTTTCCATTTCCCTAACAGGCTTTTTTCAAAATTATTGCAGGGAAGATTGTGAAGTAACTAAGCTTTGCTACCCAGGTGAGACCAATGGAGCAGAGAAGTGGCACGAGCCTTTTCCTGAGCCCCTCCTGCTTGGCTGCCAGCCCCGGCTCCTGCAGGTCAGTGCAGTGCCTGGTGACTCCAGGAGGAAGGGTGACTAAGAGGGTGACAAAAGTCAGTGGAGGCTGCCGTGAAGCCCTGTCACAGGAGGTGTGACATTTGTGGCAGTGCTGGCATACTTGCTGTGAGTTGCAGGAGGGGAACACGAGGTCGAATGGCCAAGCTTCTTGGCTCTCTCACTGAGAGCTGTCTGGACTAGAAATCAGCTGCTGCCTGCTGAAAGCTTTTTATGAATCACTTTTAATTAATACTCGTGAAGGTGGGAGGGAGCATTATAAAGAAGGCTCAGTGCTGAGTGTGGCCAGAAGCAGTGCTAATGAAAGGGCACACTTCCCATGCTGGCGCAGGCACAGCGGCAGCAGTGCTGCTGGGAGATCTGCAGCTGCACGTAAACTCCACGTGCTGACAGTTTCCCCACATAGGCTCTGCTAGCACTGCCAACCAAACTGCCTCTGGAACTAGTCCAGAGGAGAGCCACTGAATTGATCACAAGGCTGGAACACCTCTCCTCTGAGGACAGACAGAGAGACTTTGGTTGTTCAGCTTGGCAGGAAAGAGTCTAGTATGTAAAGGTACAAGAGGGCTGAAGAGGGACTTTTCACAAGTGCATAGGACAAGGGAGGATGGCTTTAAGCTGAAGGAGGGTAGGTTTAGATTAAGTTTAGGAAGAACTTCTTTACTGTAAGAGTGGTGAGGCATGAAACAGGTTGCCCAGGAAAATCGTGCACTCCCCATTCTTGGAGGTGTTCCAAGACCACGTTGGATGTGGCTCTGAGCAGCCAGGTCTAGTGGAAGGTTTCCTGCCCATGGCAGGGGTGTTGGAACTAGATGAGCTTTAAGGTCCCTTCCAACCAAAACCATTCTATTATTCTAAGATTAATCAAATTTTCACAATCTACAGACTTTATTAGAGCTACATTTTATATACTTACCAACTGCATCTGCTGCAAAGATGGTAGGCATGATTTATGATTTATTTAGAAATCGTTTTACATTATTAAACTAGTGTGCTTTGTTTGGGGGAATTTAATGTCCTAGCTTATAATAAATATTCTTCTTAGCATTCTAAGAGTAGTCATATTCATGTGGGGAAAAATTAAATCACTTAAAAGTCCATAACTGATTTTCAAGCTGAATATATCACAGAGAGAAAAGAATATATTTCTTTTTCATGCTTTTGGTGTATTTTAAGTCTATGTGCTGTCACACTGATAAGCAATGATCTCTTAAGGGCAGAAATGAAAGCTTCCTTTTACAAACCTGGATTCACTCACACCCATAGGTCACAAAAGCTACAGCAACATGAGCACTTCAGTTCCTACAAGGGTGCTAACATTTCCTTTCACATATTGGTGCCTCCCTTTCCTCAGTGAAAGAAAACCTGAGACCAGCCAGGAACTCTCTGTCAACAAGTGTCAAAACCTGCACCTCCAGAAATCCCTCAGGGCTCTGTGGTCACTGAGCTCACAGCTGGGCACACGTGGGTGTCAGTCTGTTCCCTGCCAACAAGTGTCAGGGTGTGAAAACTTGTGCTAAAGGGACCCTGAGAACATTCATTAACGCTTTCTATGGGTTTCATCGCCCAGGCCATGTCTTTAGCTTAGAAATGTATCCTGGTAATCTACATCTCTACCCAGATGATGAGGAAGAGATGACCAAAGCTGTAACTACCCACAAGAAGATTAAGCCTATGAATGACAATAAGGCAGTGTTCTAAGAAGAACAAGGCAACATAATACGGGATTTAAAGGTACCTTTGTTTTAATGAAGTGAAATATCAACATGTAGGCTGATCTTTTGTCACTTTTATCGTTTTGCCTTACAATTTGCAATCCCATACATGAATAGCTGTAAATTTTTATTTTAACACAAATTTGCTCACAGATTTGTATTTCTGAGGATAGTATAGACAGGTGTTTTGTAGATTTGGTCTTAATTACAGACAATGAAAGACAAACTCATCTGCCAGAGCAGTCTTCAGCCACATGAGAGTTTTCCAGCAGCAGGTAATCCACAGGTACTGAAAAGATTGTCAGATGTCAAAGGTTCTCATTCCAGGTTGCCTTTAAAATGATACTGTCTATCTACTGAAAATGTTTATTCCTGAAGACTGTGTCAGAGGGTGTTTCCTTAGGTATAATTTCTGCAGCTGGGAATGGCAGAAGAGAGGTTTTTTACTTGGTAGCTACCATAGATAGTTGAGGTTCACTAAGCAGACCAGGACTCAGATATTCCATGAAGTTCTGAATTGAATAAAATAAAGTGACTTAACGTCAGTGAATGTGAAGTTAATTTAAATATACATTTATATGAATCAGAGGCCTAGGCAACCTAAAATAAGGATTTTATTCTTACGAAGTAAAAAAAAAAAAAATAGCAGCACTCACTGTATAGTTTGGAAAGCTGTCCTGTAGTATAGCCAAATGAATTTCTTTCCTTTATACCCATGCTCAGGGTTGGGTTGAAACTTTGATTTCAGACTAATTATTTCAGAAACCATCCGTTTCATACACACAGTAATAAACATTAGAGGGATAGC